TAACTCCTTTTTTTTTTTTTTTTTTTACAGGTCCATACTGCTGTAAGCAGAGCAGTTGAGTTTTTAGAAGATCAGACAGGTGTGAAGTTTCCACCGGCAGACACAGTGCTTCATGCGTACTTGCACTTTGAGGCCCTTACAGATCACGAAAACAAGTATACTTGCATTACTTGTGGTGATCACCCCCCTGTGGTGATTATGGATTTACACAAAAAAGGTGTTTTACATTTATCAGGTATGACTACTGTGATGCTCCACTTGCTAATTGTTTACATTAACATTTATGTATTTGGCAGGCACTTTTATCCAAAGCGACTTACATTGCATTTTTTTATCTGTTCATTGTAATTTTACTTTTTTAAAAATAGTTTTCTCAGTTTTACCTTGTTATAATGAACTATTTTTACACTCTTTAGTAAGTGACATCCAGGGTCCTGCAGAGAATTTGACAGATGTCAACCTGGAAAAGTTTTGGGAGGCCATGTCCTGTGATATGATTTGTCGCGGATTTGTTGCAAGTATGAACATAATGCTTTGTACATCATTGGAAGGCAAAAGGCAACATAATACAATGCTTTTTTGTTTTGTTTTTAGGTGGTAGACACAATCCATGTGCGGTATCACCATCATACCATATTTGGGCCCCTTGGATAGGGAAGCACACACGGAATTCAGACTCTGTACTAAACACAGAGTTCGAAAAGATTCATGTTTCGAAGTCTGTATCTGAAATTTCTGAAATTACGGTTACAGAGGACAGACTCAGAGAAGAACTATACCAGGGGTAGGCAAGTTCGGTCCTAGAGAGCCGCAGTCCTGCAGAGTTCAGCTCCAACCCTGAAAAAAAAGCTCACCTGCCTATAGCCTTAGTAATCCTGAAGACATTGATTAGATTGTTCAGGTATGTTGTTTTTAATATTACCTTGTTAACAAGACTATATATTTTGTTAGGTTGGGGTCATTAGGAAGTTATGTAAAGAATGTGGTTTGGACTCCAAAGGATCCCGCAATGATCTTCTAGGTAGGTTGTCAAATGAAATGAAATCCAGACAAACGTATGACAAAATCTTTGACAAAATCTGGGGGGCCTCTGGTAAGCTTAAGTTGTCTTGCACAATGTTTTCATTGCAATCTAGTTAATGTGTAGTTAGAAACAAAACAAACAAAATTATACTTACTCGTTGGATGTAATTAATATCTTGTTTTTTAGGAGGCTGGGCAGTGATCGTGTGCCCATGTGGGATTGTTTAGAGTATCAAATGCAATCTGCGAGCTGAGAGCCCTCGAGACTTTGCAGACTTACTTTTATCCTGGAAGCATATGCCAAATGTCATAATTTATGACTTTGCACGGGGTCTTGCAACGCACTTGATTTTAAGGGCATCAGAAAAAGTACCCATCTCTCCTTTTGAAGGTCGCTTAGCAGAACCCACTCAATCCAACATAGAATTGGCCAAATGTGGACAGCTTAAAGTATCACTACCTTGGCTGAACACTAAAAAGACAGTGCCAGACCTTAATGGTCACCCAGTGACGGGTTCATCGGATCACTATGTGCTTTATGATCGGTTTCATGAAGCAAATACAAAAGACAGCAAAGATGTGTCGAGGAAGCTCACTCTAGTACCTCAGTTGGCTGGGAAAGTGAACAGCCAGGTTGCAGAGCAACTCTTCGCAAAGATGAAAAAAAAAAACTACTTTTTGAACATGTCTTTGCCATCAACGCATCTCTTTCAAATGAGGAACATAATTCATCACTATAATGAAAAGAAAAACAACAAAAGGCTGGAAGGATTAAAGAAGACTTTTGGGGCCACAATGGTGACAAATGTGTATGGACGAGCTGTGTTTGGTAAATTTGCCTTGTTTTTTATATCATATTAACCTACCAAGATTTGTGGAAAGACATTAAACAATACTATGTTATAATATTGCAATGGTCCACTAACCACTGATGAATTCAGTTCAGTACAGTTCAGTTCAATACCCATTTAACTTTCTTAAACAGGTAATCCATGCTTCTCCCCTGAGGATCCAAGTGGAACTGAAGTTGTGATGGAGCACAGTACCCCGACTGTTACAATGGTTACAACTGTTGGTGAGTGTTTTCGTTCGGGGGTTAAATGGGGGTGGTAACACATTGGTTAAATTATATGGTTTGTTTTTATTTTATGTTGTGTATAATTTATTTTCAAAATGTCTATGCTGCAACAGGAAATCGTATGGTTTGTGACATTAAACACTTGTCTGCCAGTAGAAGTTGTTGGGATTTCCAGCCAAGTGATAGGCAGACATCAATGGTAATATTGCTTGTTTTTTGATAACACTTTTCATAACACATTTTGTGCATTTTGAATGTAATTTTGGTCTCTTTATCTTTATCTGTGGTAAAGCTTGACCAGGCTTTGAGTAAAAATGACCCAGATGAGAAAATTGCTCAAGTTGGAAGAATTACACTGCAGCGAAAAGATTTCCGGACCTTGGGACTCAGTGCAGAGCTTGAGGCAACAGTAAAGGCTGATTTATACTTCTGCGTCGGACCTACGCCGTAGCCTTTACGCCGTAGGCTATGCGTCAGTTTTCATTTATACTTCTCTCAATCATGTGTTTCCCCCAGGATGACATAGCATCCAAGGATTATGTTCTGCTACCTGCTTGGAAGCCATGACACTGGATGCTATGTGTATGTATTTTCCTTCATTTTTTAAAATATTTTTTTCAATATAATGCTGCATAATTTTCCACAAATTGCATTAATTTGTAATTAAAATGATTATTAAGATTAAATTTAAAGTGATATTAGGATTAAATATACTAACAACTGTATTTCACAGGTTCTGAAGCCTAAAAACAAGGCTATGTACTTTTTTGATTCAAATCATCCCTACGGGATTGGTGATTCACGATATGTGAATGTCTTCAGGTTGCATTTACAAATATGGATATTATGTTCAGAGTTCGCAGTTCAAGGTTTGCTGTTCGAAGTTCACTGTTCCAAAGTTCTCTGTTCATTGCTGTTTGTTCTCAGCATGATGTTCTGCATGTTTTGCTTATATTCAGAATTTTAAATGTTGTTTTTGCAATGTAGTCAGTGGTCATTTTTGCTTTGGAACAAAGAAACTTGGCTCCTTTGTCCAATTTTTATGGTTATAATATTTATGGTTATAATATATTAAAATAGTTATTCGATTTTGTTGCAGTAAATTGACAAGCAGAATTGATTCAGGATCATGGAAGCTGATCAAAAACAACGTTAGTTTTATTAGGTTTTCAAAAAACATAAGTTATTTATAACAACACACAATCTATGTATGTTTGTCACATTAGTTCCAGGAATAACTTAATGATATTCCATTGTTTTAGAATGTTCCAAAACAGTTGGCCGGCTCCGTTGACTGTGGGATCTTCATGTTGATGGTGAGGAAAAAGGAAAAGTAAAAAAAAAAAAAAAATCTTTAAATATATGAATGTTTTTTCATAAGAATGAAAACATGAAATGGTTGCCTGAACTTGACTGATGTCGTTTTTTTCAGTATTCTCTGAACATGGTCTTTGAGGCACCTTTTGATTTTACAGCTGTAAGTCTTTGTATAAAAAGATCTATTAACTATATAATATAATCTATTAAATTGTTGATCTATTAACACTTTGTTTTTCCCCATATGCAAGTCTGATTTTCCCCTCATTCAAAAATGGTGGTGCCTTATTCTGATGGAGAATTTTGCCATTGAAAGGTATCTCTCTCTCTCTCTCTCTCTCTCTCTCTCTCTCTCTCTAAGAAAGTTTTTTTGTAC